CCCCAAAACCCCAAAACCCCAAAACCCCTTTTCAGATATCAAAAATTGATATTTCACATATTGAATTAAGATGACTTGAAAGAATCCACATATGATCTGAATATTGAATCAGGGTTCTCAAGAAGTGTTCTTGGTGAATCAAACTCAGCTAATTGTCCTTTATCCAAGACTAGAATTCTATCACTTTCCATAATAGTATTTAACCTATGAGCAATGGTAATTACTGTTGAATCTTCGAACTTTTCATGAATCAGGTTTTGGATAGTTTCCTCAGTTTTTATATCTATATTGGCTGTAGCTTCATCCATTAAGACAACCTTGTTTTGTTTGAGTATAGCCCTTCAGATACAGAGTAGTTGCTTTTCACCTGAGCTTAAGTTTTTGCCACCCTCTTCAATCTCTTGATCGAGACCCTTCTCATCTCTTTTGATTAGCTTGGACAGAGAAGCTTGATTGGTCAAGTCTAACAGTTCAGAGTCAGAATAAACTCCCTCTGGATCTAGGTTGAATCTAATACTTCCACTAAAAAGGGCAGGGTCTTGAGGAATTATAGTGATTCTTTTCCTGAGTTCTTCCAAAGGAATTTTAGAAATATCAGAACCATCAATTTTGATGGTTCCTCCATAAGCTTCCACTATTCTTCAAAGAGCAAGACAGATTGTTGATTTACCAGCCCCTGTTCTTCCTATTACACCAATTTTCTCTTTGTTTTTGATGGAGAATTTAAGATTTTTAAGCACAATTTCTGTTTCAGGACGATATTTCAAAGAGTAATTATCAAATTCTATAGCTCCAGAACTTGGCCAATTGTAGTGAGACATTGAAGATCCTTCACATTGCCTCTCTTGGGGAATTTCTAGGACTTTTAAGCATCTTTGGTATGACACGAGTTGAGATTCAAATCCAGTAAGCTCGATCACTCCCCAGAGCAACATTTCACATAAAGAATATACATGCACAAGGAAGACAGAGACAAGAACAGGATTTAAGTTCTTCCTGAAGAATAGCTATATTTAATGATTTAGATTGTACGTAAAGAGGTTTAATAAAAATATATCACTTTAAGCTACCAAGTAGAGAAGAAGCTTTAAGAATTAGCAAACCAGTCGCTTACCATTAGAGCCATTGCGGTGATCATGATTATTTTCCCAGTGAAGTGGAGCCTCACTGTAAGCCATCTCTGGACAGCTGCTTGCCAGAACTCTGTATTTATGTTTGTATCAACTATATAGAATAAAAGGCTAATATTACTAATCTTTTTGTTATGCTCCACAAAATCTTCCTCTTTCATGAAATTCCTGATTGTGCTGAGCCCAGATAAAGTTTCTGAAAGATTATTCAAGATTGGAGAGTGAGTGACACTCTCGAGTCTTTTCAACTCCCGATATGTCTTCATGTAATAATTCATGATTACTCCAAGGAGGATAAGGAAGAAGGGAACTGCAATTAAGACCCATGGACTGTTCATCGCTGCAATTAGAATTGTAGCTCCACATTCGAATAATATTAAAAGTGTCCAAACAAGCTTATCTCCGAGATCATAATCAGTTGTGTCTATATCTTTCGAGAATCTATTTAGAATTCTTCCAGATGGAGTCTTGTCAAAATAGAGATTTATTGGAGCAAGTAATATTCTTTGAAGCATTCCTTCATGGAGAATTTTTGAAGATCTTAGCGTGGTTAATACCATGATTGCGAATATTATTGCTAAGAAAAGAGCATTCAGGAAAGGGAAGAGACATACCATCCAAAAATATCCCCAAAAATCTTCTTTATTCCTGCTCTTCTGGATCCAGTTTCCGAATGAGATGCTTCCTTGAACTTCTGCAAAGGCATATGCAATGAAGATAATGATACAAATTAAGAGAGCGAGCCATGTAAAATTATCTGTGAGAAATCTGATGTAGACTCCCCAGTTCACATCAATGATTTCATCATTTTCCTCATCTGTGATTCTTGATCCTTCTTTTTTAATGTAATTTTTGGTATCTTCTATTTCTTCTATCTCCCCTTTTCCCTCTGTTATCTCTTCTTTCGATTCTTCAGGATTGGAAGACTCAGTTTTATGGGAAAGGGATTCAACAATATGTTTTACTTCTTCATGATGTTTGATGTCTTCATATGGTCCATTATACTTTATCATACCATTCTCCATAATTATGATCCTATCAGCTCTGTCTAGGAAATCGATAGCATGGGTTACAAGCACTCTTGTTTTATCTTTGAGTTCATCTGTGAATACTTTGTCAAACACTTTTCTCTTCACGTTGGCATCTAGAGCTGAGATCGGGTCGTCCATAAGTATGATATCTCTATCTGCGTAGACAGCTCTAGCTAAGCTCACTCTTGCTTTCTGGCCTCCACTCAGGTTGATCCCTTTCTCACCAATTTCTGTGAGATCTCCACCAGAGAGAATCTCTAGATCAGAGCCGAGTTGGCAGATTTCTACTGTCTTGTTATATCTTTCTTCAACTAGGGGAAGTCCAAAGAGGATATTATCCCTTATTGTTTTGTTCTGGATCCAAGGCATTTGTTGGACATAACTGATGGTTCCTCCAAGCTTTACCTTTGATTCTTCTTTCATGGCTTCTGTGTGAAGAATTTTGCGTAATTGACAATTCAGTATTTTCCCTTTGTTCTTACGGATGGTTTCTTCGCTAAGATACAGCATGTCGCCAAGAATGGCATTCAAAAGAGATGATTTTCCTGATCCAACTTCTCCAATGATTCAGACAAATTCTCCTTTGCTGATTTGAAGGTTGATATCTTTGAGCTGGACAGATTCTCCGAGGGTTGGTTCCTTCTGGTTATCCTTTTTCTCTTTTCATTTCTTCTCTTCTAATTCCTTTTCTGAGATTTCATCAATAGTATTAGCTTCGAGGTCATCTTCATTATCAAGAGTGACAGATTCTTCATTAATAGCATTGCTAATGAGTTTAGTCTCTTCAGGGTTTCCTTTAATATCTTCTTTTTGTGATCCTTCTTCTTTGTCCTTATCACCATCCTTCTCTTTTATCTTTTGACCAGCCCATGAGAAGCTTGAGTTCTCAATAAGAATATCAATGGAGTTTTCTTGGAGATTTGGGTTGGAGAATTCGACCAGTTTTTGGTTGATCTCGTCACAGAGCAGGAATTTCTCTACTCTCTTCATTGATACCAAAAATTGAGTGAACTCACCAATGAACTGAGGTACCCACTTTATGGGCTCTTCCAGCATCCGAAGTACATGAGTGGCAGCGAAAGCTTGGCCAAGTGTCAAAGAGTTTCCAAATAGGAAAAAGAAAGCAAATGTCCCAATCATAAAGGTAGGAGTCATTATAATGAACAGGAAGATTTCTACAGAAATGATATAGATAGACTTCCTTCCAATACTAAGTTCGTAGTTTCTTTGCTTAGTAACTTTCTCAAGGAAGTACTTTGTCCAAGAATTGAGTTTGATAACCTTGATGTTATTCACTACTTCTGTAGTCATGTTCATCCTCTTATCCTTTCTCTTTAGATGCTGTTTCTCTAGGTTTGCATTCCAGATTGCAAAGAAAAAGTTCAGGACTGCTAGCACCAAGGCAACTCCAATAGCAGGAAGAAGGTAGAGGCCAAATGTGTAGAACAAGAAGACTAGGCAAAAGATCAGCACGAAGGGCAATCTTGCTATCGGAGGAAGAGACCTATGCAGGGTTAGAATCTAATGACTAACAATCTAAGTAACTTTCAAATTCAGAAACGTATCAGAAAACTTACAAACATAATCCACATGCACGAGGAGCATCAACTTGGATAAAATTGATAATTTCTCCCTGAGCAAAATCTTTGTTGGTTGATGGGGTGACTTTTAGGGTTTTGTTGTAAATCAAAGTTGTCAATGCTGAATATGATTTGCTTCCCATTATTGTTTCGATAAAATCCCCTTGCTGAGCTGTATTGATGTGAGATAAAATCTAATTGGCTACAACCCTTTAATGATAAAATAAGGTAAATTTTTAGAACTTACAAACAAGATCTGAGCTTCAACTAATGAACACATATGCTGAGACTAGCAGAACTCCATTCCAGATATTGGTGTCTGTGTACTGAGATTCCGTCATGAACTCAATAATAGCATTGATGAGGAAAGGCACAGCTACCTGCATCAACAAGACAATGAAATTAATAGAGGTAGCAAGTATAAAATCTCTCTTATAAGTAGCCATCAGTGCCTTAAATATTGATAATCTTTTGCTAGCTTTGTACTTCTCCCAATTTTGGACAAACTTTTGCTGTTGAACTTCTGCAGATATTTCTGGGTATATTCCCCCGAGGTTCGTCTCTTTGAGTCTATGAGTTTTCCCGAACTAAAATTTTAAAATGACGTACTCACTCTGACAAGTTTTGAAGGCCAACTGAAGAATATTTTAGAGATCCAGTTGCTATGCTTGTAAGGATGCTTCTTAAACACCGAGTCTGGGTGTTTAAACCCCTTGCCTTCCCCATCCTCAGGCTGGGTATCAATCAAGGGGTCATATCTCTGACTTGAATTAACGAATTCACTATTTTCCATTTTTAATTATTTACCTAAACTAGCCTATATATATTAACCTTGGGTCAAAAAGTGACAAAATTTAGATATTTCAATAATCTGTGACGAACCTGGGGTTTTGGGGTTTTGGGGTTTTGGGGTTTTGGGGTTGTGGGGTTTTGGGG